ACCTCACGTCTTTTTATGGCATTCCCAAATGAAGTTTGAGGATTCAAAGTCTCTGGTGTAATTCAACGCATTTTCATGCTCTTTCACCGGCGTGCCATAAGCACAATCAGGATTCCATACACTGTAACAACTAACACTACTAAGATGATGCATTCCAAAACTGCTCGCAGTTTTCGCCTAGTAAGCTTTGGTTGGGCTCATAACGAACATCGTTATCTGACTATGCGAACATGATAGGCGGATCCGTGTTAGAAATTGAGCAATATTCAGAAGCTTACAGTCTGGAGTAGTTACACTTTTTTTCTCTTTATGGAACGGGATAAAATCTCCGCTTATTAGCTTCAGGAAATAAAATAATTGCTTGTTGTAGGGCTTATAACTAAATGCAGTCCACTGAAACGGAAAAGCCATCACATCATAACAGTTCGACATTATGTCAACGTAATGACTGTCATCTATCTCTTTGTGATATACAAATTCTGAAACAATGGGCCATGTACATATGATCAGTCAGTCCATGTTCACATTATTAGTGACAGAAAATGTGCCCCAACGAGCTTTTTCAAAAAAGGCGTGAATGTTAACGATTTGCAGTGTTGCAACAGACTTTCGATCACATCAAAGTAAAGTACTGCGAAGGAGCATGGGAGCATTTTGGTGTACACAAGCACACACGCAAATACCGTGTAAATGCAAAGGAGATAGTTAATGATGATGACGATGTTGATGACTCGGATGATGATGAAAAGAGAGTTTCAAAATCCAGCATGTGAAATGAAAACACAAATAATGCCCGTCCAGTGCGCAGGTCTGGGCTTTGCAATGATCACCTTGACCATTCATGAATTAGGCTCACAATGGGGAACAGAACTGTACCGACCGTAATTCACTGAAACTCGCCCCCGGGTGCTAGACTTTTTCTCAAAAAAGTGGTTTATTCGTCTGGCAGTTTGACATACATTTCGATTTGCGTGTGGGCAACATCGGTCAATGTTTTGCCTTCAGTTGAATGCGTGTTTGCGAGAAGTGTTTACGCATTAGAAGCCTTAGAGCGGACAATTCTCGATCGACACGACTGAGTTGATTTGCCAAGAATTCCTACATTGGAGTTAGTTGTTCAGAAATAAAACAATAAACAAACTTTATGTAAAAATGTGGGTAATAGAATTATAAAAGAAGTAAACCAGGTATTTGTTTGATGAAATGGATTGTTATAAGGGCCCTTCTTTCCTGGGTGCATTACTCGTAGACGTAAGAAAAGACCCTGAGTAATAGTCAAAAAGGAAAGGATTTGCATAGAAACACTCTCATCAAGGTTTATTTAAAAATGTGAACAGCAGTTAACCTCACCGTTTTCCATTCGGATAACGCTCTATGGACTTGACAATATTTCGCGTGTTTGGGGTTTATAACTATGATTCATTAATGCCAGAACCAAAAACCGTCAGTATTTTGTGAAAATCAAAGGTGGTCAGAGGTGATCAATATTCTAGAACCATCCTCATGCTTAAATATCACTCAAAACCGTAGCTATGATCATTATAGTGAATTATTTGCAAATTAGTCATTGAATGAAGTTTTTCATCTAAAGAACCAGAAAACTATTAAGAGAAGAGCTGGAAAGTTGATACGTGTTTTTAACGTTTGAAGCATAATCATAGAGGCAATGGGTCTGCAAAATAATTGATTTTAGCGTCAGAAGAAACACTTTGATTAACTAACTACCCGGTCTTTTAGTTGCCGTTTTGTTTGCTCTGTATAAAACTATATACATTGTGTACAAAATCTTTTTGTTTTTTATCTAAAATTAAACTTCTGTGAACTTACAGTTCCACGAGGGTGGTGCGAGTACCTAACCCCGTTCAGCTGGGCAACAATTTCTGCGATTATGTACAGATTAGACACACTCCAAACCTGGATATCGTAGTGTACTTTGTATAACTTTTGAAGCTTCTATTTCAGTTTGAAAAACTGCACACGCCAACCTTCACAGATGACATTTAACGGGGAAAGTGTTCACATGCATAGGGGCATTTCGTAGTCCAAGGTCAAGATGAAGTTCACTTGTTACCCTCTCTCTGTTTGTGAGTACACGTGCAAGGCCATACATAAGTATCGGTAAACGTTTAAACGAGATGAAAGTTGGTGGAATTGAGAGCGTGTAGGGTTTGGAAGGACAACGTATCAGTGCTGCGTGCAGTGGGTGGTCAGGATCAATGAAAATCATCCCCACAACTTTGACACTGGAAATTATATGCTACTCAGAAAGTTTAACAGCTAACTCATTCAGGGGAATGAAAGAAATGTGACTAGACCGCAGCGTAAGACTTCAAAATCCTATTTTAGTGAGCCAGGAAAAACAACTGGGCAACAGTAAAGTAAGATGGGGGAAAACACACTGATATCAAATCCTTGAATGACTCTGCGAAATCTGTTATTTGTGTTCCAGACTAACCAGCAGCTCTTGCTCCCAGTCCTCGTTCCATTTTTTTCGTAAACTGAAGACCATAAGTTGTCCCAGGCATTCATTAGCTTAGCTCGCTGATTATTTTCTCTGGGATAACGCAATCTACCAGGTTAGGTCAGAGGAAGTCCAAACCATTGGTGATCAATTTAGGGGTACTTCAAGGTGCAGTCATTTCCCCATACTTATTTGCTACATATATTAGTGACTTTTCCGCTAGCATCCCTACTTCTCTCTTCGAAAACGCTGATGATTTGGTTTTATGTCAGGCCCTCTCCAATTCTTCTGGTTTTCCACAATTTTCTGATCCCAGCCTTTTAGGCCACGCTTCAGTTGCTATATACACGACGAATTCACCTTTGAAATTGAATCACATCCTCCATTATTCACATGAAACTTGTCAAGCGTTTAAAAATATTTTTACTTTACCGTTCGCCTGTTATTTATTACAATCTCCTAAAGAAGGACTCTAAACCGCTTCTACGTGGGTTGACCATCATTAGCTGCGTATATTCAATCACTCTGGAGGTGTTGATAACTAACCCGTGCAAAAATCATGCATGTAAAAGGTTTCACATAATAATTTTATCGACCCCATACATGAGCTATAGACAGATTTAACTTTATTTTGTTCCCATTCATTAACTAAATCCCAATGCCGTTGGAATTCTTCTCTCGAATTTGTACATTTTTAACTGAAATGTAGGCTCAAAACCTACAGAAGTTACAATTACAATCACAATTTTGTGAATTTCTTAAATTTTGTACTTGCATTACTAGGCTATTGATATAACTTAACCCATGATGACATCACATGAGGATCCTTCTCCCTGAGTTGCAATCTCATCTAAGTAGATAGGTTAAACACGTGAACCCAAAAATTTCATTTTCAGAAAAGACTTTTTTCTCCACAACTATTGGAGTCAACCTATTAAACCTGTTTCAGTAATCGTCAACTTACCTCTTCTTTATTTACAGCAACTTTTTCTACGGAGCTTCGACTGGGTAAACGCGATAGTTGTCCTTCCAGTATCATCTTCTGCTTTTGCAACTGATCATAACGTGCCTCCGCGTTTTTCCACTCCTCTGGTGTGGACGGCTCTGCAGGCAAATTTGCACGACTCGCTATGATGGATTGAGCCGACTGGGACTTTTGTTGTGGCTTCAGAGGCAATTGTTGTTCTTGGTGTTGCTGAGAAAGGTTTGACTGTCTTAGAAGTATTCCGTGTAATGGAACACTGTTGTGCGGCAGGTCACCGAACATTGAACGAGTTCTATCTGCATAAGCACCAGGGCTTTTTGAGCCTTCATTCGTCTTTGGCAAACTTCTCATTGCCACATCTGTCAGTCTCAAAGGACGTTCTGTCGTATTGCAAACAGCATGAGGGTTTGATGAATCACCTTGTCGGGGACAGGGTGAGTTAGGTTGATTTGTGACCGACTTGTACATTGAAGTCGAATGGCCTGAGGAGAAAGTCATTTGTTCTGTCGCTGGTGAATTTTCTGACGGTTGAACTTGTGTTTGTTTGGTGCTGTTTATTGACTGAGTAACTTCAGGTTTCTGAACCGGGGATCTAGGTATTGAACGACCTGTGAATGCCGGTGGAACCTGAACCGTGTCTTTGACGGATGGTTGTGTCGCTGGTTTGTAGCAAGGCGGTGGCCGATTTCCTGAATTCGACACTACACGAGAATTGGGCTGTGGGACAGAAACTGAACGACTACCATATTGACCATATTCCGATAAACAACTTGCGTCTTTAGGTTCTGAATGCGATTGAACTGGATTAGGCACAGAAACGGTTGAGTGTTGCAATCCGTGATAATGATCATGATATAAAAGTGGGTACTGGGTTGGATCTGATGCATGCAACCTCAATGATTGATGGCATTCTGGTTTTTGGAGGATGTTCTCCGAAAATTTGGCTTCCAAAGGTGAATAGCCGACTGATGGTGGGGATGGCAAGGAATGACTAAAATGGCAATGGGGTTGCTCGGAGGGATTTGTTGGAAAATGAGTAACTGGCCATGATGGATATGGCCAACTGGGTGGAGGCTGAGGATTCATAGTGATCGGTTGAGTATAAAGTGGGCCGGATGTCACGGGCCCGAATGACGGAATTACACCGGCACATGACAAAGGATGGGAGCTGTACTGACGGACGCACTTGTGGACACAAGAAGAAGATGGAAGAACTGTGCTCATATCGGATGGACATGGATGAATGTATTTTGAGTTATATTGTGACACACCTGGAAACAAAATGAAACGATAAGAGATATGAGCGTAAATGGCTATCTGCTTAACTATGCAATACTCAAAGAGTTTTCCCATTGGCAAACACAAAAGTTGTAAATGGTTCTCAGACGAAGCGTAAACGAGAAAGTAAGATGTGGAGGAAATTGAACGGATCTTGGGTTGCTCTTTTATTACATATAATGCATACCCTGATTCCATTACTCGGACAAATCGCAAATACCGACTGCTTACGGACCAGATGGTTCTAATTTCACCGATCTACAGAGTGAATCATTAGGTCAAAAGTTCCTATCCCGCGAGAATCTTTACTATTTAAAAGTTCTACTTCATTTTTTCATCCATTTAGTATGTTATCGTGCTGTTACTCACCTTTACTGCTCCTCGTTTTTATTTGCCGGTCTTGAAAATTAGTGACTAAGCAATTCTAATTTGGTCTGTTAAATTCATTTCAAGCAAAAGCGGTATTCCGCGTTTATAGTTGCGTGGATTTGTCACCGATAAACATTTTAACCAATGCGAAAACTCCTGCAGTAATATTCTATCCGGCATAACTCACTCTTCGCATGCAAACTTAAACTTCTGTGACCAGACGTTATTATAAACCTGCGTATATTCGTACCACTATGTACTGGTTATCTTTTCTCTCATATCTTTCTAGATTTCTCACAAGGTAAGCATCAGCCAGAGACAACTTTTAACAGACTCTAAAGTAAATGTTCATTTTCACATAATTACGCTACTATTCTCTCCTTATTTCATGACTCTCAACGGGACCATTTGTGTTAATGTATAAAACGATAAATAAACATGGGGGTCGCACTGAACTGAAAAGTCATTCAATGGAATGAATAAACCAATTCGCAACCTGAATTTACTTGACTGAAGAGTAGAGTGGTAGTACACTAAAGTAACCAAAACATGCATAACTCCACAATGAGTGGGAAATGTGTATAGTCCCGGACTGTGCATAGATCTTACAGTGAGACTTGGCCCGATGATGCCGAGAATGATGATGGTGGTGGTGATGATGTGAACGATGAGGCCGTTGCTGGGATAATTCACCATGTTTGTGGTGCTGCGAACGACTCTTCCGATGACTGGATGTCCTGTGGTGATTGTGACATCCTGAACGATGACCACTTCGCGAACGAGATAGGGAACTGAGTTCCGAAGTCGAGTTTCCCGAGGATCTGTTTGAGGCGGAGTGTTTGCATGTGGGCCAAGCTTGATAGTATTGATGTGCTGATATGTTATCCGGGACAAATGTTGAATTTCCCCGTATTCCAAGCATGTTTTGAGAAAAAGGCACAGCATTGTCCTTAGCGTGATGCGCAGATTCATGTTTATATTGTTCATGAAGATTGTAAGACATTCCATAACCTTCGGAGGGCACATATCTCAAATGTTGTTTGTAGCTTGCGCCTCCTTCAACTGGAACTGCATTTCCTTGAGAAACAGTTTCGCTGAAACAAACGAAAATTGATTTTGTATTTTAAAGTTACATACCAAGAAACGTTCATCACACTGGTAACATTTTCAAAGCCGAAGGGACAAAAAATTAAACCAGAAGAGACAATGCACTATGGTTAGTTAAAGCCTCTTGTTTAATTTATCAGTTCGATGGATCCGTAACAACTAACAACAGCTCACTAAAAGCCAGCAAAATGATTCCATCAGTGAATGACTACCTGACTAATCGTCTGTTTAACTGACTGACTGACTGACTGACTGACTGACTGCCTGACTGACTGACTGACTGACTGACTGACTGACTGACTGACTGACTGACTGACTGACTGACTGACTGTGACTGACTGACTGACTGACTGAAATTCTTTGGTGTACTGAAGGGTAATCCAGTGGCATAAACATTATGGAAAGGACAACCATCCGAAAATGGCGGAAATATTTGCGCTCGATCTAAATGTTTTCATTTGTGAGTCGTTTAAGTCATGCAGAATAAAATTGAACTTACTGGTAGCTATGCACAGGGTCATGACCAGAGTATACCTGTTCAGCGCTTGGCATGGACTGACAGCAGCTCTGCGTTGAAACCATGTATGTGTTAGCTTGTAAAGTATTGATTTGATCTTGACCATTATTCTGTTCCTCAAGTGGTTGTATTGTTGTCGTAGTCTCACTGCTCCTACTCTCTGTCCATGCATATCTTCTTTGACTTCTATTGCATCGAGTGGATTCTGCGTGTTTTGTGCTAACAGTATTTGATCTTGGACTGCGTTGCGTGCGACGCCTCGAGATTAGCCTATCAATTGTCCGATTAGTTCGTTGGAGCTGATATATTGTATCCCGAATGCCGAATGTATCAACCGCGTGCAATGATTAGACGATTGAAAAGTAATAAAAAAAACTAGTTTATCCTTGTCAAAGCATAAAAGACAGAAATAATGAAGATATTACCCGTCGCGTACTTGAGTGTAAAGGGTATTCAATAGGATGAGCACACCCAAAATGGCATATTGTCGTGTTCCTTACGTCTCCATTGGTTACCCGCCTCTGACACATGGCTCCAAGAGGCTGAGGTATGCATCCGCGGGCACTTTTCCAGAAAACTGCTAGACCAGTGCACTGACTAGATTGAAGGTATTGAGGCTTAAATCCTCGGTTGGTTGGTGTACAGCAAGCGGAGAAAGATAGTGCGTGGTAAACGACGGCATATACTGTCTCATTCAAGGACTATCAGTGAATTCTGTCCAAGCAACAAGGATTCATCCACTTCCCCAAAATCTTGCATGCACCATCATAGAGGCACTGACGAATGAGCACCAAATTTCTGCTGATTCGCCATTCGCCCTTGGTTTTGCAAAGGACAAAGGTGCTCCCTCGAAATAAAAACCGAGTAGCATTGTGAACGTTCTTTATGCAGCACTCCCAGGAAAAATCATCATCGTCATAAAGTCGGCTTATCGCCACCAAGTCACCAAACGAAATTAAGCAGGTATTTAGTCCAGCCACAATATGCTAATTATTATTTTGCATCAAGGTGCAATTTATAACATTATCAAATACTTGAACAGGAGAATTGTGATGCATTTTAGTCGCTTGTTTGTTTATCGCGTTTAAAGTTACAGGTCCACGCAGTTATGAAGAATCCCAAAACAATGATTACAAGATATAGGTCACAACGTTAGAGGTGAACAGTATACAAGATAAACGACACACTTATTTGAACAGGATACCATGAACAAAACTAAATTGGTTTGCACCGCACACTTTAATTGAATTCTTGTTATGAGCTTGCATGTAAACTTGGTTAGATAAAGAGAATGCATAACGCTAGATTATATGCTGATTTATATTTCTCAAAGTTTCCGGTGAAAGATATGGGAACGATCAGGAGACGGTGAACGAAGATCATACAGCCGTCACATTCTTTATAGATATACATACATATACACATCGATCAGCAAATTTATTGACACCCACGAGTATATAAAGGTATAGACGTAGAGATACGAAATAATACCAATCTGAAAACACAACAATCTAAATTAATGAAGCCAGTAGTTACTCAAAGTGCGTGATTCGAATGATAATTAGTGAATCTAATTCCAAATGAAGAGAAGCAAGTGTTGTACAAATTGACATCCAACTTGATAAAGTTCCTGGGAAGTATATGACCTCATGTTATCCTATATTGTTCCTACAAAATAGATGTATAGATAGATAAACTAACACACACTCACAAAAATATCAGGCTTGCGGCGAAACACACGAAAAATTTCGTTTTTATTCCTGTTAGCTACACATTTCCGTTGTGACTGTGTAACATCCTTACACTACGTTCTGTACCTCAATCCACCCATCCTCTGTTATTTTTATCATTTTTGTGGCTTCGGCACCATGATCGTCCGCAAACCGGTCATATATATATACATATATATATATATATATATATTGATGTCAAAGGTACCTGTGCAACTCTTCTGAACTTCTTTAGACAAAAGAAGAACAGAAACGGGTTCACTAAAGGAAGGTGCAAACACTAATCAAACACAGTTAGGAACAGCTCTTAGTACGAACAATTGTTTTGTCATTCGCGAAGAGAGCATATAACCGCTATGACTTGAATGATACAACAATCAGATACAGGTGATACCATAGCTCGGTTCGATCGAAAACCACTTTCATATCCATGATGGTTACGTTTAAGGGATTATTCCATGATCTGACGACAGCTGAATATAAGGCCTATATATCTTTGCTAATTCATCTACCCTGTTTTAGTATCTAATAATTCCTCATCTTCAGTCAGTTGGATGGCCGTTCAATCTGACAGTCTAGAATCCAAATCTAGATATCATCCATTGACGACGCTAAAACAGCGAGAATCACTTGGTGTCCTCATATCGTAATTGGAAGCAACATTTTATTTCACAGATTGGTCGATTGGACGACAGATGTGCTGTTCACAAAGATGCTCAGATAAGCATCAGTAAAAAAGCGTCTCATGTCAAGCGTAACGCGAAAATATAATCGCGTGAAATTAGTAGTAATTTGTATGAAGAATTCCTCGTGTAAATGAGATGTGAGCTGAAAAGCCAGGAAGCACTGGACGGCAGTTGGACTGATGCATTCGCACGGTTGACGAGACCCAACTAGGTCGAAACACCTGTCCACCGCTTCCTAGATTTTTAGCTGACACCTCATGTGAAGTACGAATTAATCATATAATCAAACCAAAAGGCTCGGTTGGCATTTGCCAAGTTGAGATATCTCTGGTGCCGTTGTGACATCCGGCTGTCTGTGAAGGGTCGGTTATATGTCACAACAGTTCTGCCAGTGCTGCTCTACAGAGTAGAGACTTGACCACTACGGGAACAGGATAAAAATACATTGTCGGTGTTCGAATACCGCTGTCTACGTAGCATTGCACGAGTATTTCGGGGTAACCGGACGAGCAGTGCCAAGGTTAAGCGCAGTTTTAGGTAGTCGCGGTCGTTCATTGGAGCTAGTGATCGACCGTCATAGAGTGCGTGGGTTGGGGCATGTGTTACGCACGTCACCAAATAGGTTGCCGATGTTTGCCGTGGCGGGTAGCTGTTGAAAAAAGATCAACGGCGGTCAAACAAAGACCTAGAACCAGGGTATGAAAACCCTAACCAGGAGACTGGGTCACATAGGTCCTGTTAGGCTCCCTGACTGGGGACCCCGAGATGATGGTCACCGATGGTTAGAGACACTGAGAGATATGATTGGGTGTTGCAACCAGTAGCGTTCGTGCATCTTCTCAATCTCTTTGCAACCTTGGACCACTGAACTTCNCCTTTCTCTTTTATCCAAATGGGCGGCCAAAAAACAGCAACCAGAACTGGCTCACGAAAGTGCATGGTTAACTGTTGTAAAAACTGAAACTGAATTCTTCTTATAGAGTAATAATAATAATAAACAGTCAGGCTGTATAAAGTATTGGCCCGTTGATCTAAATCCAGCCCCTATCGCACAACTCTCTCTGACAGCCCTTTGAATAAGAACAGTTTATTTTCTATGTCTACAGAGCTCAAATAAGACCGAAATAATGAACATCGATTTTTTTTACTTACCTCCTCCGCCAAGCGTTCATATTTCTTTAATAAGGCACGTACAGTCAAGCGCTGGTACGTCTCACTAGCATTGTCATCATCTTCATCGAATTTAGTGTCACATTCACTATCATGTAGTGTATCGATTGACCTGAACCGAAGTAATGGAAAGATCAGTAGAAGCATTTAAACTTTAGGCTTCGAAGTATGATGTAACTGTTCGTATTTTGGAGAATACTTTGATAATGAACAAAACTTCTACTCATTCAGTCTATCTGTTTACTGTTTTAATAAATCTTAAACGACCGGTGTATATCAATTGTCAAATCGATGTAATTCACATGAGTGAAACAGTTTAGTATTGTTTGCTCTCTCATTACTGATCTGCGACTATGAAACGAGATCACTACGTGTATAATAATTATCCACTTATGTCTGCTGTCGTGGCTAGTTCAATATAATCGGCATAAGAATTGTAAAGTAACTGTAACAACGCTAGTATCTTAGCCCCAACAACAAAGACATTTGCAATGGTTTGACCATGTTTAACACCATTCATTCAGGAAATCAGTGTGTAAATGTTTTAATAGCATTGGATCTCCGATGGAGAACCGAAAGCATAACTTAGCAGTGCAACCTGAAACAGCAGAAGTTTTGGTCTCTCACTCGTCTACAAGATAAACCTTTGAAACAAAGATTGACTCTCCACGTATACGAACCTTGCCTCTAGTGATCGTTTCTGTGCTGCTGCTATCATTACTATCCAAGGGAGAGGGGTATCCCTAAAAGAACCAAATGGTATAAGAGTGAGGTTTACTTCTTTTGCTGAAATTATATAGAAAAACGAAAATGATAAAAGGTTGGCTCGGTGTTCAAATGCTTCACGTACTGAATCAACTGAAAAACAAAACTGTTGGGCTTTCTCCCATAATTTCCGCCTCAAAACAACTTCGGGAAATCAGTGCTTCAATCAGTTATCTCGGTCTTAATTTCCTCCTAGTTGCAAATGATATTTAATGAGACAACATACGTGGATCCTATATGTTCGGTACTTGAAACTTTATCACGAGTGCCGCGCTTCTTGGAAAGATTCTTCCGTGCCATTAGACTGCATGCACTGATCGTGGAACTACAATCACCGGAAGTGGAGGCTTTCTCTGCATCTGAAGAAAAGGAAAAATCCGATCTGGTATTGTGACAGATCGTAGTATTGAGCTGCAACGCATGTGGGTGCGTGTGAGTTTATAAAACTCGGAAGTCAAGAACACATGAAACAACCAAATTTAGGTCTCGATTGAATGAAAAATGTTCAAGTTCATGCGCGTACCCATTATTTCACTTGGTACTAAAAGAAGACTAATTTTATTAAAGAAATCATACGAAAGATAGGTTTCAACAAGCTTAAAAACCATAATTTTTCCTGCTTTATCGCACCGGTAAATAGAGCAATCATTAAAAATGAGAAGTGTGTAAACCGAATTACCTACACATTGTTCCACTTTTGTTGCACACATCTAATACAGGTGCATCCGGCCCTGACATCTCTTTTCGATACGTGTGCACTGATTTCTCCGTGTCAGCTGATGACATCCCCATTTCAACAGATTTAACCTTAAAAAATAAGACATAAAAAACGAACTGTAATAAACGTTTCACAAGCAGTCAATGACGTTGAACAAGGAACCATTTTCTGGTTGGACAAATAGTGATAAAGCAAAAAGTAGTTTGTTTCTGTATATCTGTAGTGGTGTCCGTAAGACACGAGACAAAAGGGGATACAGTGAAATATATGGATGCAAATTGTTATCAGACGAGAATGAATCCAGTTAAAATAGCTGTTGTTCACAACCCTATCAAATAAACTTGGTCCACAAAATTAAATAAATTGAAGAAAGGAAAAAATTATCTCCACGGTTCCATTTCATAAACACAAACTGGCATCAGGTACGTATAAAACAACAAACAGCCGGATAGTCAAACAAACACATGGGCAGAAACAGTCATACCTGTGTGATATGCTTTTCAATGGTTGATTTCTTGACTGGTTTGTATTTCTCGTGCTTCTCCAAGCTCTTGCTGTACGCCGTGGATTTTGCCTCGGAGGAACCAACAGAATTGGTACCTTGATCAGAATTTATTTGCCATTTGTTAATATACCTTTCAGTGTTCAATTTTTTGGCTTCTGAGAGTAAAATAGCATTGTATATTAAAAAGTGCTGGTGACAAAAACAAACCACTCTTTGTCAGTTGCCGTCGACAAGGACTATCGCTCGACTCGGTCTTGTTAATATCATTATTGACATCCACAAAGCATTCCAGCTGTGATAATGATTGGAACGCGGGTAGCAAACAGTCCCTTTCGGGCGTTTCTTGAAGTTGAGCAACATGGTCATTAAAATTTGGTTTTGTATCGTTTAAAGTCAGATTTTTGCAATTTGCTGTTTTCATGACAGAACTGCGACTGAAGGTGTTAAGCTCTTTTTGAGATAGTCCAACAAAACTCGGTGCATATTTAGGTTGATCATACGAGACCGGATACGACCATGGGTGCTCACAATTTTCGATCCCTAGTTGCTTTCTGTTTATTCTATCGGATCGCCTTCGATCGTGTATTTCTATTCTAGATCGAACTGTGCAAGCGATGAGTACTGAGAGTTCTTGACTTACCTGGTAAATGAGCAAGACCTTGGCTCAGGCAGGATGCTTTAACAGTACAGCCGGCAAACAACTTTTCCGTTTTAAAATGATAACACTCCGAAATTGAGTTTAGCTCCTCCAGTAACGTCCATGGGTAAAACATGAATTGGTTTCTTGATAAATTTCGCGTTTTACTGAAAGTTTCCTGTAATACTGACTCCGGAACGAATCGTAACTTCAAGTATATATCGTTTGAACTCAAGTTGGAGGGGAAATGATAAGTTTGGCCGTCGCACCAGTATCTACTAACAGAATAAGCTTTTTGTTGATAAGATCTTTTCGTTCCAAAGTTTCTGCGTCCAACTTCAGTAATTGTAGCCTGTATTGCTCTCGGCAAATCATCCGCAATTTTTAACCTGCGTGTAACAAGGTGCTTTGTATTGAACGAACAGAGACTCTCCCTAAATGTGCTCCCGTCACCTCTTTTGTCTGCTTGAGTCTGAGTCGAAAGAACCTCGGAAGAGCATAACATTTCATGGAATTCTGAATTGCAGCTTTCTTTGTGATCGTATCTTGATCCTTGATGAGCAGAATAGAGAAACAGTTTCAGCAAAATCAATTTCGTGAACTGGGAGGAAAAATGTCAAAACTCGCCTTTTTAGACACACATAAATTAGCTTCCAATCTCCATGGGTTTTAACTAAGGTTAGACTATTTTCCTCTTCTCTCTCGTCTTAACGCGACCAAGAAGCCTCACTTATGCAATGCGAAAAACCAAACAATGAACCTAAATTTAGATTGACGTGGATATAATAAAGATAAACAAAATATGACTAGTATCAGAGAAGAATTTACAAGGAAAAAGGAAAGGGAAAGTAATTAACGTTTGCTTCATAATTGGTCTCCAATTATCCACTTGCTCCGATGTTGCATGACAAGTCACTTGTTGGCAATCCGGTCATGGGAGCTTGAGTGCTTGCACAAAGTTTCTGAGCACACAGAGGAGGGAGTGTATGAAGACGGATGGAAACTGCCTCCGCTGTGGCTAGAATGCGAAACCACACGTGTCTAGACCGTTTAGAAGAGTGATACAACTGAGAACGAGGAACTAGTACACCTTTGGATCAACAGGCAGCCACAGATCCTGGGCACAATACACCAAGGATAGGAACAAGGCAGTGGCGGTTCAACGAGAGCTCAGACGGAAACACGAGCTCAAGCTGGCAAAGTGCGCAAAATATCAGCCGAAAAGATACGAACACTACGTTCAGTCTAATGGAGGGCTCAGTGAGAAGGTAGGGTTTCTGATACTGGATGATGGAACAATAATTACCCAAGAGTGGGATATGGCAGTAAAATTTAAAGATTAAGTCAGAAGCGTAGATCGGGTGGACCAGATCGCTACTGGAGAGCTTAACCCGCACAACACTGAACCACGTATCCCAGACTTAACGGTACGGATGGAACAGGTGAGTAGAACACTTGGTAGGCTCAATAACGCCAACCCCGTTGGTTTAGATGGCATCCTCCGGGACATAGTAAAACACATCGCGGAGTTGCTATGAGGTCCACTGTTTTACCTGTTCAATAAGATTTTAGCGCAGGTCAGGCTACCCATGATTAAAAAACTGCCATACTGGTTGCTATACACAAGGGGGGAGCCGAGACAAAAAGTAGAAAATTATCGTCCAGTAAGTCTCGCAAGCACCTTGTGCAAGGCTCTAAAAAGAATCGTCAGAGCACGCTAAGGCCAACACCTCACCCAGCAACACCTGCTAATTGCTGCACAGCATGGTTTTCTGAAGAACAAATCTCAGCAATTTGTTGCATCTTTTAGATGAAGTCACAGCGAAGCTGGAATAGGGAAAGAAAGTAGAAATATGCTATATCGACTTGAGTAAAGCACTTGACTCAGCGCGCCATCGCTTACTCTTGGTCAAGATAGATACTTTAGCGATAAGGGGTACGTACACAAGTGGTTAACAGCTTGTCTGACCAATCAGACCTTCCAGGTTTGGGTCGGAGAAGCGAACTCGCCAGTGGAAACTATTGCTAGTCGGGTGCCATAAGGGTCAGTTCTAGGTCCACTTATATTTTTACCTAAATAAATGATCTTCCAGAACACCTTGGCCCGCCCAGCTTCATACTTGCGGACGAGGTCAAGGTTGTACGATCAAATAGGAGGGCAGAATTAGGAAGGGAGATAAGAGAAGTGCTTAAGTGGTACATAGGATTTACCTCTCAACATCAAAAAGAGCCATGTCTTGACCACTGGAGACAAATGGCCGATCGTGGGGAGTATTCACAACGGTCTTTCACTAGAAAGAACGCAGAAATCTTGGGCTTTGGAATCCTAGTGACTACAAATGCTGAGATTGTGAATGGTTCAGTAGCCTCAGTGGGATTCAAACCCACGCATGGACGCCGCTTACGCTTTTGTACGGTGCACGCTGTACCAGCTGAGCTACGGAAGCACTGATCCTTTCACATTTGATTCGCTCGAATGGATAGAACAGTGTGCCGCGGTGTCTGGCCGCACTCGTAAAGAGCTTTTTCTACTGAGGTCAGCATTAACATGCAGGAAATTGGAGGTATTTGTACCTCTATTCAAGGCAATTTTTCGACCGCATCTAGAGTATTGTATATACGTTTGGGCTCCATTCTTCAATACGGATACCGCTTGACTCGAAAGGATCCAACGATTGACCACAAGGATGATCAAAGTACAGCAGTAGATGCCGTATAGGCAAAGACTGCACGATCTCGGACTCTTCTCCTTGNCTTCTTCAGCAACAGGGTAGTGTAATAAGTTACCACAGAAGCTGGTGGAACTATGGAGTGTACTCGCGTTCAAGAAGGAACTCGATAAGCGCTTGTGAAACTTATTTGCAGAAATTGACGCGTACGATTAGGTTCGGTAACAGTAATGGGTTTTTCCACTTACTAAACACCCCACCAGTGTAACGCTTCCAATAGTAAGGTCTCTCGACTGAATAAAGAGAGAAGATAGCTTTTTGTATCTCTCTTCCCTTGCAGAGGCGGAGACGACGAGTGAACACGTAAAGAACTTCCAATATAGAAAACTTGCAGTGGTAGCGGCCAAAACGTGGGCTTACTACCGAAGGAAATCTGGATGCTTGATTGGCCGTGGCCATATCGTGTCCTGTGCAAACTGAACTGAAATGAACTGAATTTTGAAGAAATTTTGAAGAAATCCCAGTCCGCACAGCCGTCCCGTTTGAACCTCATTCTTGTCCCATTGAAGTTCCATTGGAATCCTCTTGCACTCATAATAGGGTTCAAATTGGACTCCTCCCAATGATACTCGAATGAAACTTCCATGGAAATCAGATAGTACTCCAACAGGACTCTACAGGACGGCTCTCGAAAGGATTGTCTTACATTGCATTATGCGAAGACTGCATTTATGAACCATTGCGCAGGCTTACCTGGGACTAAGATACATAAATGTATAATAAACATACCCTTCACTTGCATCAAACCGTAATCCATCCCAAAGATATCGACTCGTGCATGGTTCTAATTGGGAAATTCCACAAAAAGAAAACGAGTGCTTTATCGATGCATCGATAGTGTATTCGTTTTCATTTTTTCTTCATTTACAGTGTGCTTACATAATGACCTTATTGTACCACATTTATTTATTTGTTTACTTATTTATTTGAGGATGTATACTGGGGATGGTCAGACGTTAAATGTTGTACACGTTCGAATCCTATTGTCCTATTGTCATCCTATTATCGTTGAACTGAGATATTCTTGGTGCTCACTAGTGTAGGAAGCTGGACCACATGGCAAGCTACCGTCATCGTCCTGGGCACCAAACTGAACTGAGCCAAACTAAACAGAATCAATTGATTATTCACAATCGACAACAACTCATTCGACAGAATCAAACGGGGGGAGATTAGATGGAAGGTACGTTGCGCAAAGTTGTGGTATAGGGGAAGTAGGTAAACAAACACTAAAGCTTCAGACGCACTCTTAAGAGCAGAGTAATTTGATGGATAATACGCTCTGGGGTCGCTTCGTGGTTGACAAAAAGGCGCACAAAAGGCGTAAGCTTGTAACAGCTGTTGCAAATTTCCGGTTTTTCTGCGAAGTTTTGCACAGGACAGAACGCGGAAGAATGTGCTTTATTTTTGCATTGTCGCTGCTAATGTATAAGTACATTTTATATAGCAAATATATTTCTTAGAACAAAAAGCTAAATATGAACTAAAATTGCGTCAGATAAGGTACTTTAACTGATTTCTAGCTCACTGTAGCTACCTATGAGCGCGCTCTTGACTGCCGAAGAACGATATGGGTTTTAAAACTTAATAAGTTTTAATTTTACGCCTTTAAGGTACTTTAAGGTATAACAGCTGGTATACCTTAAATTCAACTTGTGCGCTAGTGCACCGTTGAACTTATAGAACCTAGTTTAGTTCAGCTCAGTTCAGTTCAGTTCAGTTTGCACAGGAAGATGTGTGACCCGGGCCAATCGTGAGTCCAGATAGATGTGTTGTTGGCTGATCTAGTGGCTTCCAACACTGCAAGTCAATAGGTGTTGTTTGAAAAGCAAAATGTGAGGTGAAGCATTTCGTCTTAGGCAATGGTGCTCGGAAATAATAGGTACTTACTTTTGAACTGTTTCAGAGAACGTTTTTCTTTTTATAAAGATTATTGTGCCACAATTATTTTAGCATACAGTCTGGCATCAGGGGTGTGTGAAATATATATATATATATACATAATTTAGAAGCCCAACAATCGCTCAAGGTCCTCTTGAAGGCTATAATGTTTAA